AGGCTACAACCACTGTACCATCGCACGAGAAAACTTTGTGTACGCCAACCCTTGGCGTCAATCCAAATACAATTCCATTCGAGCAACCTTGCAAGAACTTACACCAGTTCGTCAGAAGCTCCAACTCTGGAGGAATACAAAAGGATTAACAAGGAGCACATCAACATCCGTGATCAAGAACATGCCATCCGGCATCTTTTATTGCCCTAACCGGGCTACGAACCGAAGAATGTTGCTGGATGCTCACAACGAAATTGTTCGAAACCGGATGGAAGGCGTAGATGAGCTAAGGATTTTTTTCGAAGATCCAACCCAGACGCAGCCATCAGGCATTGTCGTGTGTACTGTCGAAGTGAAAGGACACTTTTGGAAGGGTTGGAACCTACTGGTGTTCCGACTTTCCAACCTCTCGACCTTCTTACCTTCCTACCAAACTAGCAGCCCTCCAACTTACAGACTTACCTACGAACCTACCTCAAGTCCAAAAACTCAACAGTCTTCTTTTGTGCAAGCCAAAGGAACCTGAAACGTCGCTTTCGGCAGAACCGTCTTCTTCAAGACGGTTCTTCTGCACAGTGCCGTCCACAGATTTAAAGTGAGCCAGTGTTTGGCACACTGTTGACCCGCAAAGACTCTGACACACCGATGTCCTTGCAGAGAAATCGGAAGAGCAGAATATTCGGACGATGATGCCTACCAGACGACTTGCAAGAGAAACTCTTTGACAGGTCTCGCGCCAGCGATGCCAAAATTCTCAAGCCTGAGATTAAATATAGGTTTTTGGAAGGGCAAACCCAAGATTTGGAACTTAGAGTTCCGAACAGATTTCTGGAACTCCGAACTAAGAGTTCCCAGAGTTCAAACATCGAAGTTCCCTCCGAACCCTGGATTCGATTTGGAATGACCTGCAGTCTGCAGCGACCAGTTGCTTTTCGCGTGTGAAGATCCAACTCGATACCCAAAACAGTGTATCATGTCCGGCTGTGTGTCTTCCAGCAAAACCACTCCAAGCTCGCTTCTTCTTGGTGAAAAGCGTTTCATCCACTGCGATGACGAAGAGTCTTCCTTCTCAAGGGGGCTTCAGAAGGACATGAAGTCTCCTACGATAATGCTAAACGCGCGAACAAATGAACCGCCCAACCCCGTCCCAGAGTTCGA